CAAATATGGATGCACCACATCTGACTCTATGAAATCGTTACCAGCATCGATAAATTATGGTACTAGATTATCAGATAGCTTATATGGAAATTATCATGCATATCTCTGTGATGCCAGACAAAAAATTAAAGCTTGCCGTATTGCGTGTTCTAATTGGTCTTGCCAGTATGATGGTAATTTACCTCAACGTAGTAATATTAGCATGACTACATTGATAGATGAAAATATTGTATCTGATCAATCACAGAAAAAGGCAGAAGGATCTAGAACATTGGAAATGATTAAGAATGCAATGAAATCATGCGAAAATGATAATGATGCATCATTAGACAATGTGTTACTTAATATTCAATCTTTATTGGAAGGAAAAGATTTAAATAGTAATGAACGCAATTTTAAAAATGAATTAAACATGGATATTGCATTGTCTCTTGATGAACAAGCACAATTGGATGCCGATATTGCAGAGTTGTTGAACGAAAACATTGGAATGACAGAATGTACAGAGGAAACCTGTTTAAATAAAAAAGAATCCGATAGCTGTATAGAAGACTCGACCACGGCCATGAATTCACTTATATCATTAGGTGAGAGTAGCGGCTACGAAAGCTTCGCGTTTAAAGGATCACCAGAGTCAACACCGGATAAAGAAACCAGTGAAGATCGGATGAGTGAACATGAAGAAACGCACATTATAATTAAGAAAGAGATTGATGATGTCCCTATGCGTAATGACGCGGAATCAAACCCTCCAATAATTGTGGAAACATCGTCGAATAAATTAAAGAAAGATCCTTTGTACCGACAGGACGTGTTTAATGGACAGCCAAATGTTGGTATATTTTTAGATGTAATTTTACGAAAACTCGAGTGTATGACAAGCAATAATTTGTATGTCAATTTACATCTCACGGGCCTCATTAGCAGATTGGCAATATATTCTCAACCTTTACTGCAATCGTTTCTGTTAAACCATTCTCTTGTATTTCAACCCAGCATCAAGTCTTTGTTTCAGGTACTTATCGTTTTGTTGTTGCATTTGTAATTATGCAATGATATTGCCTTATTATCCGTGTTTACAGATTTATATTGATTTTAATCTAATTTGTTTGAGTTTTTCTTCTAAAGAATATTACTATTTTTATTATCTAGATGTTGTGGATCGCTATGGAAATCAAGAGAAATAATATTTTTACAATTTATATTGCAGGTGCTTGCGTCATTAAAACATAAAATAGATCAATTTCTTTCAAAACATAACAACGTGGATTTATTAGTTGAACAAGCAAAAATATTTCTGATTAATCGAGAAAACAAATTAGTAAATGCGAGGAAAAATGTAATAGAAGCTGCTGCGCAATCGTCATCTATTAAAAGACAGTCTTTAACTGGTGAACCATTCTCAAGAGGTATTTATTTCGTGAATATATTTTAAGAATTAAATATATCTTTCCATCCTTCATAAAGAATATAAACATTAGATTTAGTTCAATACTCGCTTACTCATTGACTCTCTTCTCTTTTATTTTTCTCTTATTTTCTCTATTCTCTCATTTATATTCTTTTCTCGTTTTCGCGTCTTTTGCTCTTTTTATAACTTCACAACTACATTAATCATATCTTTTAAAATTTTGTGCACACTGGAAGTATTCAAAAGATGTATGTATTGATATAAAATATTTTTGCTCTCTTGTATATTATATATGTAAATTTCAAATTATTATATCATTTGTATTTATAGGGGAACCAAAAAGGAAAAGTTTGACATCATCATTCACACAAATGTTCAGACGATCAAGTGGCGGTTTAGGTCCAAGTCTAACAAATTCCATCAATCAGCCGTCCAGTATATCAGAAGATCAGCTACAAATAGTTGGATCTGGATATAGGTAAATTATTTCAGATTTCTGTACTTTATAGTAAATGATAATATCAAAAGAAAAATCTAGGTCAGGGATTCTCAAAGTATCGAGTCAGTTTTTTATTGCGATGTTCAGAACGTTAAATTATACTTCGTTACTTCGCGTAGCTACAAATTTACAATACAAATTTATACAAATTTGCTTGCGCACGTTTGTCCTTTTACGACTTTGTATATATGTAAAGTTGGATTTTTAATGATGGTAGAAATCAAAACCAAATTTTAAATAAATTGCAATTGTCAAATTCCTTGTCTGAAAATAATTCGTGTCAACGTCGACATCAAAGCTTTATTAACAGAAATCGGAAATAAGCACATTTTTCACATTAAATATTTGAAAAATTACCCTAAATCTATTACTAAGACCTAATTACGTTAGAGATGATTTTAATCCCACTAGTATGAGTGAATAAATGAATGAATAAATGGAATACAATATAGTTACATATTCTTCTCTTCAATAGGTATACGAAAACTTCGTGGGAATCACCAAATGAAGTAAGCCCAGTGCAAAATGTTGTACTATGTTCTGTAATATTAGATGAATGGCTTAAAGAGCTCGCAGCAATCACTCAGGAGCATGCCATTATGTCCATTACAGATGGTAATAGATTTATGTGAATTTGTATATAAATATGAAACAAGAGAGAACATTTGGAAATATTCTCCTGTTTATATATATGTAATTCAAATGTAAAGAAAATAAAAAATATGTATTTTTGACAAATTCAATTCCGCGTGTAATGCTGAAATTAATTTGGCATATTTCTGAGTAAAAATCGTGAAATGTAAAAAAATGTTTTAGACAAAAATTTTATCCTGCGCAAAAAAATATAATCGAGTAACACAAAATGACAATCACTCACTTGTTTGCTCGTTATTCATTGCACACAAGTGAAGACTGATTTCGCGGTACTCTTATCACACGGGTACTCATGTGACACACACACACACGCGCGCGCGCATGCGCACACATTGATCCGAAACAGTTGACACACGTATAATGGAAAAATTGTAAGAGGATTAAATAATGTTCTAAATGGCTCTTCATTGTGATTCCTTTAAAAGAAATTTATATTATTACTTTCAAAAGATATGTAACATTAATTATGCATATTTTTTAAATTAAAATAAATATAATAATAACTACAAAATTTTACGAGGTTTCACACTGAAATAGCCATTTATTTGAAAGTATCAGTGTTCCAGAATGAATGCATATAGTCAAATCCGCCAGTACTAGTTGGATACAACGATATCTTTAAAAATGTGAACTAAAAGAATATGGAAGAAAATGATAAATTGATATAAATGTTATATTTTTGTTTATAGTAAAAAAATTATTTAATTAACATTGTTAATAATAAATAAAACGTTTTAAAGAATTGTATAAATGAATTTTTTTTAATTTAAACTTTTAAATTTTTTTAAAAGTAACTATATGGTTAAATTACACGAAAAAAACATTAAAAAAACATTTAATAGACATCTATCCACAGAATCAAAACTTAGTGATTATGCTTATGTTTTGGAGTGATTCTTACTACTTGCCCAACATTAAGGCCCAGTTTCACAACTGACAGTTAACTCTTAACCGAGTTTCAACTTATTCATTATCTCTTTTCAATTGTAGAATTGGAAAAAGTTGAGAAATAAGTTAAACCTCGATTAAGAATTAACCGTGAGCTGTGAAACTGGGCCTAAGAGTTTAAAAACAACTTTTCATTATTAATAATACCTAATAATTATACATATAAATGTAAATAATGATGCAACAAGTCATTCGTTTCTTTTAATTGTGTGTATGTAACGGTAGCGTCCCTGCGATGAGTTTATCTTATTGTGTTTGTTATGTGTTAGGGACGAAACGATTATTTACCGCGTGATAACTTCTTGTTCACGCTCAGAAGCTTAGTCGAGAAATAATCTTTAAGAGAGTCTTTATCTGGTTATGCGAGAGCTATATGTTTGTGTGAGACTTAATTATTCACTTCCTTGCGAGCTCATATTCCATCGACTCTGATATTCTTTCGCGCGTAGTGCTCGCCAAATTACATTGTATGCGCCACTGTTGCCGTGTTTGGTATTACACGACTCGTATGTTATGATCGACGTATTGTATCGCGTAATTCTCAAATACATTATTGTTATTTGTTACATGTAATTTTGTATGATTGATATCTCCTATTTCTCTTCGCCCTCCGATTTTCCCCACTCACGAGAGTCACCCACCTATTATATAGCTGAGCGGTCCGTTTCGTTCTGTATGCGAAATTGTGGTCTGATCCTAATTTTCTGTATTTTTTTTTAAACGCGACGAAGTTGTACCATGCTCGCGAATACGGTCACAACATATATGTATATCCCTAAAATTTATAGTTAATTTTTATAAAAAAAAATTCCTAATTTTTCCCCATTTCTAAATTAGGATCTTTCCTTAATGTATAAAATATAAAAATATTGTATTATATTATATAGGGTAGGGTGAGGTTTTCTTTGTCCATGGAGCTATTCCAGTCAGTGACGTTTGTTTTTAATTAACATATAAAACATTTAAAGGTCGTGTTTACTTTCAAGAAGCAATCGTGTTTGAAAGTAATGTACAGTTGTAAGCAAATTATATTGAGTGTTTATTAAAGTTTTAGGACAGTAATGCAAAAATTATCTCTGATAATCGTGAATTATTTTCTTATATTATTAGTTTTTTTTTAAGATCCTCAATGAGCGCGGAACAATCCTACTGGTTTTGACATATGTACACTTTCAGTTTAGATATTTATGTAATAATATTTTTCTTTGTTGTATGTTAATTTTTATGCTTACAAGAGGTTATATTATATTCAGTAATAAATCATGTTTGAAATTTAATTGTGTGGGCGAGACATTTTACTGTAAAATTTTCACTTTAAGTTGAAATTGATGGAATAGCTCCACCTTATCCTATAAAAATTATAATGAAGTGAACAAAATAAATATAAAGATAAAGGTATACAATATAATTACTATGTCATAATATGAAATATCGTAAATTATAGATTTATTATAACGAATAAAATATAGTATTTAAAATTATCTTATATATATGAAAACACATACGAATGTGTGTACTTTATGTATCGATTACTCTCCATGTCCCGCAGCTCTACGCAATAAAACATATATCTTTTCTTTGATCCAATCCTTATTATAGGGAGCATAAGTATTTGTCGATTTTTGGTAGACAAGACAAGATAAATCCGTTAATTGATCCACGAAATCAAATAACTGACTAATATCGTAAGTAATAGTTGGAGTGTTTGGATTTCGTCTCTTTAGATGTTCTTCATAAATTTTACAAACTCCTACAATAATAAATAAATAATTAATATTCGTAAATTAATATTAGTATTGAAATATTATAAAAATACAAATGTGTGTACGCGTGTATGTATAGAATATATCTTATGTAATGATTAACAAATTACTGGGCGAGTCATAAGTATGTTTTAAAATATCGTATTACTGGATAAAAAAGAACAAATGTTCTTGTAAATATTACATCATAAATGCTTCGTTGACAAAATAACAGACATAAATACAGTAGTATCAAATAGTGACTTAAAAATATGAGGTATTTTTTTAATGTTCAGTGTTCATAATTTTTCACACATGCTTTAGCACGACGTACACATAACTGATATATTTCTTCATAAGAACATTTGCATTTTCTTTTTAAGGGTCACATTTACAAAATTTTTTAGATATATTTATGACTCGCCCTGTATAATATATAGAAAATCAACTGCATCATTCTCTTTTGAGTGTGCGTGTAACTACGTGTGCGTGTGTATAAAGATGATCCTACACGGTCAATAATACTGATCAATAATATTGAATCAGTATGCATCAATATTTTTAGTATTTTTACAACCTTAAACGATCAGTATTATTAGATCTGTTCGCGTTGCATGAAATCCCCAAATATTTTTGCACTCAAAATGAGATAGATATATATTTGGCTTTGAAAAAAGAGAAAGCGAAGATGCCGAATGCAAAAAGTGCGAGCAACGCGAACAGACCTATTGACAGTACATATATGTTTCACTTTAGTTTTACATGCATTATCCATTACACTGTGACATACTGTGATATGGGTTCCGTTTAGCAGAAAAAGTAGTTTTGCAACTGTTGTAAAATTCTTGAATATAATTGGTTTACTCGTATATATTTAGATCTAGAAGAACTAAGGGCAACACCAATCATATTAAAAAAATGGGCGTGTTTAAGTCGGCAAAGCGGCTAGTCTACTCGCCAAGCAAATGAACATAATCGGTTGTTACTTATAGATCCAACCAATCACATTCAATCGTTCGGCGAGCAGGCTAACCGCTTTGTGCGGCTTGAACGCGCCCAATTTTACAACAATTGCAAAGTTACTTTTTCTGTTGAACGTAGCCATAGATCTTAAAAAAGCGGTACTGATGCTCGAGAATCAAAATTTAGATCACCATCAGTATTCTACGTCAATCTATCAATATCAACCACACACAAAGTAATATTGTTAATATTTGTTAATACTGACAGTATTATTAACCGTGTAGGGTCGTCTTTAAGCAGTGTCGCAAGCGTTACAGTCCAAAGAGTAAAGATAACTTGACGTTGACTGGACCGCAACGCTTGCGACACTGCGATGCGATTAATGTAGAACCAGCATTGGGCACGCGTGTGCATGCGTACGTATTTTTAATATACAGGACATCTAGTTTAATATACAGGAATTCTGCCAACAACGCTTGCGGGCAGATAGAGCGGACTAAACAGAGTCGAAAAGTTCTGTACCATTTTGCAATTTTCGCGATAGTTAACGAGATATTAATTTTTAAAGATCGCCGAATAAGAACATACCCGTCCGGTCATACCGCCAAATGCACGCTCATCGGTCATGGGGGAATGGTTCACTTGCACATTATTGTCCAATTGCTCACTGCCAATCACAGCAACTTCTGTGTAAGATTTTTAAATTTTTTTTCTAGCACTGTGATTAGCATGTGCGCAATTGGCTCATGTGCAATTGATATACACCCGTCGTGATCGTTAGACGCGCAAGAAATTGTTTTCTTTCGCCGCCGTGCGTAACTATCGCTGCTTATAATAAACAAATTCTTAATCCCCATGCGCTTAGCGACCATGAGATCGATGGACGTGCATTTGGCGGATATAGCCGGGTAGATACGTATTTATTCGGAGAATTTTAGAAATTAATAATTCTAAAAAATTATTTAAATTAATATTAAATTAATTAATATTAAATTATTTAATAACTCGTTAACTATTGCAAAAATTGTAAAATAGTAGAAAACTTTCTAACTCGGTTTAGTTTGCTCTACCAACTTATGAGCGTTGTCGGCAGAATTACCAGACATCCTGTATAAATGCTATCGTATTACTTATGTTTTATTTTTTATATTTCTTATAGATATAATAAGGTATAGAATCGATTGATTTTATGCTGTTTGATGCACACACACACACAATCTTATTTTTATAAAAAATTACAATTTTATATAACATGCACAATAAAAACGAGCATTAATATCTGTTATTAAAATTTTTAACTTAAATTTATAATTTATAATATAATATTACCATAATCTATAATTAAAATTACCTTCCATACATTCATTAATGCTTTCATAATCAGAATATGTTCTTGTTTCAGGTCTGACACCAGGTTGTACTAATAGTATTGTATGAGACTAAAACAAAATAGAAGTAAATGATAATGTAAACTTAATAAACATTATCAATGACTGCCCAACTCAGATTTTAAACCATAAATTGGACAAAGTGATTGTTACAAATTGTTTATTGCTGAAAATAAACCTGTAAATGATGTTCAACGATCAAGTGAACATAATCTATCGTGACTGAAATGAAAAGAGGCATCTAGATCAAATTATTATTTATCAATTTTTCTAAAATATCGGCTTAAACATAATCTAGATCTTCTGTGTCTATTTGTAAGTTCAAACCGTTCTGACATTTAATAAAAAGCATCAGTAAGATCAAACTTCTGTAGTAAAAATTATCCAAAATTTCAACATTGTCCAAATGAATTCATGATTGAGATGCAACCTATAGTTCGTAATTACAGAATTAGTAAAGTATTCCACTGAATGTGACTGCGATGTTATTTTACCTGCATTTTTAATTTTCTGCAAGTTTGTCCTGCATAAGTTGCATCACAATCCCTGCAGCTAATTTTATACACCATGTTCTTTTTTAATTCATGGGACAAAGAAACCTTGTACATTTTGATAAATTTGTGTAGTTTATTAACACTAAAAACCAAAATTCTCTGATCTGCATCATTGAAAATTCCCCTGAATTTGAAGAAAATCATATTCTATTGATGAAATTCTGAATTCATTGACAAATTTATTTTCAGCAACAAAACACCTATAAAAATCACTGTCTCATCTTGGTCTAGAAAAAGAATTTATATTTATCGAACAATGTTATTAATTAAAAATATAATAACGATGTATAAATATTAATAAATTAAATTTTTCATTGTCATATTATTTATATAAAAAATAATAAAGTAGAAAAACTATAAACTTTGTAATGTTACAAAAATATTATAATTGAAAGATATTCAATAAAATTATTTATAATCAATACAATATATAATATTGTATAAATTAAATTGACTACAATTATATATATAATACATAATATAAGATATAAATGACAATATAATACAGTATAAATGGCTATATCTTTTTTCCCTATCAATAATTATAATTAGAGTTATATACATATAGAAAAAGTCGATCAATATAAATAAGATAGAATAAAATATGGTTTTATTAAATAAAAAATATTATATATAAGGAAATTTATATAAGAATTGCTATATGAGAAAATTTTATTTTATTTACAAAAGATTTTCACTGTGATGTATATACAAACATTTTATCTCTTGTATAAATAGTTACATGTCTCTCTATGGAATGATTCAATAATTTATTTTTCTTAAATTTTCTTTAAATAAATAAGATTATCGATTTAAAAAATAAGCATATTATTACTTAAATATTGTTTAGATTGGTTAAATAACTGACCATAAAAACAATCCTCAATATTACTGCAAATCATATTTTAAGCACATTTCTCATAAGTTTATTGAATTTACTATACTTAAGCAACCTCTCCCCCCCTGTGTCTTTTAAATCATGTTATAATAATATACTTGTAAATACAGATATTTCACAATTTGAAATTTCTGTACGATTCCTGAATGATACACTTCAAATTCTATTATTGTTAGGATTCCATAACACAATATAGACGTAACATTTTGTACAATGACAATATTTTTTATAAACAGTGACATAATTGTATTGTAACGAAACATACAGTTCAATAAAGTACAATGTTCAGAAAAAAAACAATAAAGGACTCGTCAAGAAATGAAACACGATTGTGCTTACCATTTTTGTTTACGCAGTCCTGGTAGGTAAATATGGATCATAAAATGATAACTCAGTAATTCTCGATAATAATCCGGATAATATGGAATGATATTCCCTTAGAACGATTTGGAAGCCTAAAAAAAGTAATCTACTGGAATCAAATGCGAGCAAATTACACCGATATACGAACAATTGACGACAAATAACACTACGTGAACTCTTCGATAATATATATTTATTGAAGAAGTATCATTAGATGCTAAAAAGGAGGAAGTCTCACCCTGCCCTCTGGTCTACGTTCCAAAACCATGATGCAAGGAGACAAGTGTGTTCTTGAACACGTTTAATTGCTACAGCCAATCAGAACTTGGCCTTTCATTCCGCCATTTTTCGGCGGAAAAACTCAGTTTTATCACCGACGAGATATTATTAAAGACCGTACACCCTGGGCAAATTTTCGGCGGTATAAAAAGGGCCCCAAGGGCCCGGAGGTAATTCAAGAACGCTGACATTACCGACAGTTGATATAAATTTGCTATTATTAACATAAATATTTGGCTCATGCATTATTAAATTCATGATTTTTTATTATATAAATGTCCCATAAATAAATATACATACTTGTAAAGCTGTAATATCCTATATATTGCAAAAAAATCACAATTTTTTCTCTGCAATTATCATCTTTATATTGATAATCAAACTTTGATGATAATACTGAAATCTCAATTTTAAAGAAAAATCGAGTATTATTGAGTTATAAATGCATAAATACATCTATTAAACTAATAAATCATAAAATTAGTACAATATTATCAGTTTTTAACTCTTAATCACTTCAATATTCACAAGGACGCGAATTCCCGTAAGGATGTCGGTCTTTAATAGCATCTCGTCGGTGTGGTTTTACATATAATAAATTCTCTCTCTCTCTCTCTCTCTCCTCCCTCCCTCTCTCCCCTCTCCCTCCGCCATTCCTCCCTCTTCTTCTATACTGTGCTTCCTGTTTCCCTTCTCCACCCCAACCCATTTTTTCCTCCCGGGTGGCACCCAGTTGGACACGGCTCAATTGGACACGAGCCACTCACAGCGCTTGAGACTACAAAGCTCCTAGGCACCTGGTCGCTGTGATTGGTGGTGGCCACTCGAGCCGTGATCAATCGGGATCACCCCGTATGCGCGCGCACTCATGGCACGTATATTGTAGAGGTTAGATATTGGCTGCTTTCCTTTTAGGAGACACAGTCGACACACTTGACACAAATCGACACACGTCGCTTTCCATTTACAATTTTGTTCAAACTCAATCGACA